TCTGTAACATTGCGATCGATATCTTTATAACTTTTCAATTTAACGCTGATAAAGGAATTGAAAAATCACAATGAAAGCCTGATCAGGAAAAAAAAAGAAGGCCAGAGCTATTGGCAGAGATCACGCGACATATAGTGCTCGGGGAGTAAAGATTCAATCAACTGTCTTAAAATACATTTTTTTTTTCATTTTTATCCCTTGTTCGTCTTAGAGGTTGATGATAAAAGATAAAATTCTACGCGCCTTTTCCTATTCTGATTTTGAACTTGCTAAAAGAAGGTCGAAAGAAAATAGATTATCATTTTAGCTCTACGAAGTATTTGAGAAAGCCTATCTTGTAGGGTACATCAGCGTGATTGATGCTTGAAACCAAGCATTGTTAATCGGATTTTGAAAGCATATCTTATGTTGTATTAGTTTTGTTCTGGTGAGAAAAATTACTTGAAGACTAAAAATAACGTTTAAAATAAAATAACCTTAAATGAAAACAACTAAAATAACTCAAGTAACTGAAAAAGCTTTATAGAAGAACGGAAATGCAATTGTTATAATTAAGTAAACGAATAAATACGGACAAGTTCTTTTTTTAAGATTTGCTGTCAGGTAATTGTCATTGCCGTCATCCGTCTAAACATGATTTGCAAAACACAACTTCTTTGTAAAAAATTGATACTCAAACATCACGAAACTTTCTTAATTTTTAACGAAACTATTTCTCGGCATATGTTCTGAACAAAGATTTCGTCAAATTGACGAAATAAGTATCGTTACTTCGTCGAGGAAACGAATTTCGTCAAAAGTAGTAAAATATTTTTTAAAAAAAAAGAAAAAAAGAAAAAAAAAGAAACGGAAAAACAAAATAAAAAACAAACGAACTCGTAGCGCCTAAATCTTTCTAACTTTTACAATAATCACTTTATCGTGATCACCATAAAGGCTGATCAAAATTCTTCTAATAACACAAGGATGACGAATAGAACAAAGAGAACACCCATGCCTGAAACGGGATACGAACCCGGGATCTTCCTAACAGGATGTCAACTCGTTGACAATCATATTTCGTCACTTTATTTTTAATCGTTTAGTCTTCACATTAGTTTCGTCATTCTAGTTAACTATCTCCCACTGTGCATTACGATGAGGTTTTGAATCGAGGAAGCAATTTCGTCGTAAATTTTAGAGCTCGTGCCTCGACACTAATCACATGATTTCGTCACGAAATGATTTTCAAAATTAACGAAATGCAGCTCAAGAAGTGCTGAATCATAAAAAGTGAGAATTTTATTTCTGGAGTGTACAGGTTTTGAACCGGTAGTGTAGAAAACAAAAAAGTTTGTTTCTTTATATAGCTGAACGGAAAAGATTATCGTCGCTGATAATTTAGTGGCGCAGCGAGAAATATGTGAATTTCTCATTCATATGTTGGGGAATTCTCAACCAGTGGAAACCGAAAATGTGTAGAAATGGATGGTAAATTTACCAAATTTGCAATTCAGTAATGTAGTTTTAAATTTACTAACAAAAAACACCTTAATAAGACCACATTTTATTGGTAGTTTAAACATAAGGCATTATCGAAACTCAACCGCAAAAATTACTGTAATTTTTGGTGTTCTCGTGAAGTTAGAAAAATTAGTAAATTTTACCATAACCTTGTAGTTTCGATTATACTATTTTTTTAAGTGTGGAGGAGATACGTAGATTATGGGTACTTTATTCCACCCATAATATATTATGTGGATTATGGGTAGAATAGAGTAAATAAGTGAATAATTTAGTGAAAGAAGAAAACAAGTAAAAAGGATCAGGTGAAAAAAGAAACGCATTAAACACAAGAAAGTTGAAAAGCACTCAACCAATTCAAAATTATAACCGATTATTATCAAAAATAATTTTTTACATTAATTTAATGCCAATACAAAGAGAATCTTTCTTCTTTTCGTTAGATAAATGTGCAATTAAATTTTTGTAAAAAAAAATAGCACGAATTCAAATAAAATTTGTTTCATTTTATGATTTGAATAACACATAATGATAATAAAAAAAAATAAAAAATTAATTGCAATGAAAATGCATTAATTCTTTAAGTCACAAGATGTTTTATTTTTAATTCATATTGATACTAACAAAAGATATCTAGAAATCAAATGATCTATTTAAAAGAAAAATGCGGAAATTTTAAATAAATGAATGCTTTATTTGAGCAAATAAAGCTGAAAGAAATTTAATGAGATATTAATTTTTAACATTACTTTGGTTTTCTTTGAAGTTGAATGTTCTACTTTGAACTAGTAAAAATATGAATGAAAAAGGAATGATAAGTGGTATATTTTTCCTTAAGGATAAAAATGTTTTTTGTGCAAACTACTAGGATATTTAAAATAAAAAAATGCTCTTTTCATATGAAATTTCTTTTTAATAATTGTGACATTAATTTTAATTTTCGAAATTGTATAAACTTGATGTTTCAAAAATAGTACTAATATGTAATTTTAGAATCATCATAAAAATTGAAAATATAAAATATGCACATTACGGGTCGCAAATAAATTCACTGAAAAAAAGTATGGTCTGAGCTACTAGAATATTGTAAAATTTTCCGTGTTTGATGGAAATATCAAAAAGCTCGGTAATATTTACTAAAGCTCTTTGGTAATTGTTTTGGTAAAATTGTTAATAAAATATGTTTATAATATCATAATATGCATATTATTATAATATGTGATAAAATTTCGTAACTAAGGTAAATTTTAGTAATTTTATCATGACATTTTAGAGCATGGCATAAAAACCATATAACTGGCAAAATAATGTAAAAAATAAAGATTATGTACAACAAAAATTTAGGTAATATATTGAAAAATCAAAATGATGATTTCATAGATGATGAGCTGAAAAATAAAGTGTGGATAAGGCAAACTAGAAAATGGTAAAATTTACCATGTTTCTGGATCTATAGGAACAACAAAAAGCTTTATAATTTGTACAGAAGTAATTTGATAATGATTTTGGTAAAATTAATTATGGTAAAATATAGTTTTATAATATGAGTTAAAATTTGGTAATTTTATAATGATTCTTTAAAGCATGGCATAAAAATTATTTATTATTTTAAATTTACTTTTCAGTCTTGTATTGTTTACTAGATGTGTAGTGATAAGAGCTAAAACTTCGAAGATCGAAAAATCCGGTAAACCGTTATCATATGAACAGAAAAAATGCCAAACGAATAGTTATATTACCGTATATTTTGGTTTTATTAACCAAAGTTATGCTTTTTTAATCAGAAATAACATTACCACACAGTTTGGTAATTAGCCATAAAGCTGTTTAACACAAAAAAAATAAGTGTTGTCCATTTCCATAAAGTAAATAGGTGTAACAACAAGATCAACTAAGTAAACGATATTCCAAGCTCATTTGATAAAACACACCTCAACCACAACCTAACTCAGATTCCTATTGCCAAATGAAAAGCCTAGCTCCAATATCCTGTTAAATTTCATTTCTTCCTGTTTTAAAGCTATGCTAGTTAAATGGTTAAAAACCGTGTATTTTTGCATTCGTGTTGCCGGTTATTTCACCGTAATTTTAGAATAAAAATTCAAACAGTGTATTAATCTTTAACAGTTCTTGCAAATAATACTCGAACACATTTTAAGGTATGATCAGAGAGTATGAATTTGAATTTTTTTTCAAAATTCATAAAAATTCAATCTGTAATGAATATTAACGTCAGGAAATATTTGGACGATAAGCCTGGAAATATTTTCAAAACATAATGAATACTATTTAAATTGAAAGACTAAATAACGGCTTTGTAAGATTCTAAAAAGAGTAAAAGTCTTAAACCTTTGCATGCGTAACGTGTATGCATTCATTAAGGTACTATCACAAATATATTCATGTGTCTAATTAAATTTGTTATGATTTTCTGAAATCTTTGCTCTTCTTTAATAGAAAAATCATATCAGTTTCCCGTAATCAATGAAACAACACCGGGGCCATGTAAAAGGTTTTTCTTTTTGTATAAATCGAATTTATGCTAATTTTTGTCTGTGGCAAGTAAATTACCGATTTTGATGTAGTTGAAAAAATGTAATGTAACACAAATATTCCTTATAGTATTAAATAAAACAAAATAGGATACAAGGAAGAAAAAGAGATTCAAAATTACCAATCTGTATGGCAATGAAATTTCTGGTAAAAAAGATACAAACAAAATACTGGTAATAAAATAAAAGTAGTATATGGTATTTAAAAATCCATTTAGTAATTTTTCTGTCTATACAGTAACACTTTACTGAAAATTTTGGTTTTCAAAATTATAGTTCTTATTATCAAAGATTTGGTAAAAAATACGAAACTGAAGAGTAAACTTTACCAAGTGAGTGATTTTTATTCTCTGCTCTAAGAAATCACGATAAAATGACCTAAGTTTGCCACATTTGCTACGTTTTATCACATATTATAAAACTACAATTTAACCAAAATCATTCAATGCACTTAAGTTAAAATTGCCAAGCTTTTTAGCGTTTCCTATGTGCTAAATTTAACCATATTAAAATAGTTTTGATCATACTATTTTCTAAGTGTGGTCATCTATTTACAAGTTTATTTCTTTAGGAAATAGTTAAAAAATAAAGGCAACACTTAAATAAAGTTAAACATCGGGAAAAAATACAAACAATTCACCATAAACACGTTATTATAGATTTGGTTCGATAATATAAAATTTTTGTCATTTATCACAAATAAGAGCCTTTGTCTGGACATTAAAGAGAGATCTTCATTGTAGAACCGAGATATAGTACGTCTGCTCATTTGGTATTATTTGCGTTTTTTGCTCAATTCAGCTTCAATCATATATAGCACAAAATTGACTATATCATCAAATGGATTGTTCAATTTACTATAATCTAGTATCTTTCAGCACTGTGGAGTTGTAAATAAACAACAGCCTTACATTTCTTAAAATTGATTAATTTTTCTTTATCTAGAAAAATGGCTTGAGCAACTTCTGGAGTCATAAAGTCGACAATGATATTGTCATTGCTGTTCACGCTTATGTTTTTGGGAAATGTAGTTTTTGCAGAGAAAATCGGATGTTTGCCTACAGAATACCGTTGCAGTTCTGGGCAGTGTGTCGATGGCGGTCGTTATTGTGATGGGAATCTTGATTGCTACGATGGCAGTGATGAACCCGAAATGTGTACAAGTAAGTGTTTGAATATTATAAAACTTTTCTTGTAATAATTTTTTATTTTTGTTGTCAAATTTTCTAAAGTTGAAGCATTTGATGCTTGTAAAATTTACTGATCTCTCAAACACATGATTATCGGCTGATATTGAGATGATGAAATATCTATCTATCTATCTATATATATATTTCTCTTACACGGCGACAAAAAAGCCTCATTACAACTCTCCGAATGGCAACGCTAGAAAATCGACCAATGATTGCCGCTAAAAATGGTCACATGCCAAATCTAGCTGAGTTGGCTCAACTTATAGCGCTTTTAAAAACAGAAACTGAAATAACCAGAGAGAGGCAATCTCATATTATTAAGATAGGCAGAAGTGGCAGAAGATAGGAAGAAGTCTTTGTCGATAGTTCTCCATTTTAGTATTTTGTCGAAAGCACTTTTTTTCACGAATTTATTTGACGATTTTTGATTTATATCACGAATTTATTTGTTTTATTATTGTTATTAGTTATTCATTGAAAAATGAGTCTCAGTCGTGCTGTTACGTTTTAAGATTTTATACTATAGCACATTTTTAATAGGTTTAACGAATTACATGTCATTTATTTGAATTCAAATTTATTTTAATGACTTAGTATTTACTAAAAAGATGCAATTTAAAAAAAAGTTGTTATATGGATTTGAATGATTGTTTTGAATTCTTAGAATTTTGTGCATTTGCAATGTATCTAAGTTAGTAGCGAGCGAAGCGATCTTGGTTTGCGTAGCAAACAATTTAAGATTGTGTAGCAAATTTCGGGAATCGGCAAGCGTTAGCGAGAAGGGGAGCTCAGCCCACTGGTTAAGAAATATTAGGATTCTATTCCCAGTGGTGTGGTAGCCTGAACTCCACTCAGCATCAGATTGGTGCACTGCTGAAATTTTCATTCTATAATTATGGTAAAAAAACCGGCACCAGTCTGTCCATCCGATTGACCATTAAGTTTACGGTAAAGAACATTTTTTACCTTAATGTTATGAATACTTTACAATGAATACAAAAACTATGCAATTTTTTAAGCCATTTACAACTAGCCTGGTTTCAAAACTGTAAAAAAAAGAATTTTATCCGGTCATAGGAGCTAGACTTTTCGTTAGGTAATGGGCATTGGAGAGTGCAGTACACTGTAAACTCTTCATGTGTTGAATGGAAAGGAGGAAATATTGTGTCAAAGCTGGGACTCGAACACCAGTTTAATCGGTCACGAGACTGGCTGATTAGCCCTCTCAGCTATAATATGTACTACGCAGTTGCCGAGAACTAAGTGGCGTCACTAGGTGAGCTTATTGGAGCACTAAAATTTTGGTAGCTTAAGCGTTTCTAGTGAAAGCAGTTAATAAACAGTTTTTCTCACAATTAACAGTTTGATTACCTTCCTATTTATGGAAATTTGAATGTTTTGCTTGAGTACGGTAAAATAACAATCAAATCAACTGTTATTTAATCATTTTTTTCTGAGAATTTTCTATGTAGGTACCATCTTGTCTTGGAAGTAAAGGTGACCAGTCTGCAATGCTGAACACATTGCCATTATCATAGTGGAATATTTAACTCACCTATTTAACCTGGGCCACATATGACTAACTGTCCTGATAATTCTCATGATTAAAAAAAAATATTTTTTTTCTTCAAATTTTCAAGTTAAAGTTGGAGAATTTTATGAAAATTCATTCGTCATAAAACTTTTAAATTCAGCTTAATTTAACATTTCGTATTTAAAAAGAAGTGAGGGTTTTCTTTATTTTAAACTAGCCGCCAAAGGCGGCCAGCTGTCCGCCACGCTAAATGTTTTCACAAATAAAGTTTTTTTTAAACATAGCAGGAAATCTGAAGATTAGCGGATAATTAAAGTGTTCCTGTCCTGCAATTTTGTCTTCATATCCAGTTCTGCTGCAGATGTGTTACAGCTCTTGAGGATGTTTGAAGATGTAACTTTGCTATGGTAACCTAAGGCCTATGGTAACCTAACCTATAATATAACTATCAGGTGAAGACCTGTTTTTTTTTTTTTTTTTTTTTTTTTTTTTTTTTTTTTTTTTTTTAAAGGCCTTAGAAATTGTAAAATCATACAAAAGTTGCTTTCGAAATCATCATTGGCCAATAGCTGAAAACCTCTTCTAATCTTCTTTGACGTTCCTCTGATACTTCTTGGGCTCTAGAATTGCTTGTCGAAATTCGGTCATGTTCCATCCTTCTTTGACGTTCCACAGACGTTTCTTGGGCCCTTCTTCTTCTTTGAGAATCTCTTGATATCTTTTTCCTTGACAAAATACAAAGTTTATTGGAAGGCGGTTCTGCCATGTCACTAATCGGGTTTCTAAGAAATCAGCGAATACTTTAGAGCAACAATTACTATGAAAGCCAATCATGAAACTTCAATATTAAAATCTGAGTGCTTACCTGCAAACTGAAACTTTCTGAAAATAACTAATTACATTTAATAAAAACTGTTAAAATAAGGAACAGAAAAACCAAAGAGATCCAAGGTAAGTGTGATCGTTCCTTCAAAAACAATTAAATTCCTATTTTATATATTATATAGCTACAACGCT